ACCATATTTAAACAAACTTTTTGGTCCATATTGAGGGTACCATACCACCTTAAGTTGACGTGGGCTCTTTCCGTACTCTGCTGCCCCAGGGTTAAACTCCGCTCCAGGTTAATTAGACCGCCCAAGTGTATCGGTAATTCTTTATCGCGACAAAAGGAAAAGAGTTCACGGTTCAAAACCTGGTGAGTATTTCCACAATATATCTCTCAAGGGTTGCTAGGCGTTAACGGCCGAATGGATCAGCTCATTCAATGATTGTGACACAAAGCAGCCATGCTTCCAACGCTAAGAGCCTGTCGCTCTCGATACGACATAATTAAACCATACCATTAACAAAAACATTAAGAAAATCTTTAGAATTTAGACCGGTTTCTTCTCTCATAAAGACACTACAACATTTCTTGAAAAGTGCACGACCTTATAACTAAACACATGCGGTTGGCCAAGATTCCCACTTCCTTGCGTTGCTCGACGAGAGAAGTTTGAATTCCGTGACCTCGCGATTGTAACAGGACACCCTTTCGTGCGCAGACTTTCTTTGGCATAATCACGAACATGTCTTCGAAAAGTCAAAGTCCAAAGAGTTATTTACATCTAGCAGTGTTTTTGTTTTGTGCCAACCTGCTATAGTAGCGCACTGAAGCAATAACAAAGTTACGCATACATGAGGTTTGAATCGAACTAAACTGAAATTCGGGTAGACTCTATCCGTGAGTTCTTCCCTTGCGACTTGGAAAAAAGGTTCAGAAAAAGACCATCCTTTGAATATTGAACTGACATCTTTCTTCTCACGTTGTGGGTGCATCTCGTGTTTGAGCAAAAGTTACTTCTTAATCATAATTTTAGGACCATTGTCACAAAACAATGCAGCCTCATCTCCGTGACAGTACGGTCCCCGGAAACGAATAACCATTTTGGCGGAAATGTTGCTCTTCTACATATATGTATGTTTCTCCTGTTTCTTCCTTTGCGTAAACACGCAACGGCATTGCCACTTAATTTCCGTAGAAGTATAATTTTTCGGATAAGCGATTGTATCTTCTGAGATTTGACGAGATTAGTTTTTTCTTAGAAGGGATTTGCGCACAGCTGCATTTCAACGTACAGTGTGACTGTTGTTGATACTCGTCATCAAAGTACAAGTAACGACGGAACCCCACATCACTGGGAAAACAAGTCGTCCAGGATTAAAATATTTTGTCTGTTTCCGAATAACACCTTGTTCTGATCAGATTCGCTGCGGCTTCACAGCCTAAACAAAGTAGCGGTAGCAACTATGCCATTTGACGCATATTTTGACAACAAATATGTCTGCGTGTCCATGTATTTTTTTTATATCTCGATTTATCAGCTATAATATTTATACTTTTGTATCGGTAGTCTTCTCCAAGAGCGGCAATGTGTCCTTTTGCTGGAACTTTATTTTTCTGCGGATTGTGAAAAATAACCGCAAAAACTAGAATCGACAATTTCTTTTTTGTGTAACACGGTAAACCAACCTGAAGCGGAAAAGCTTGTCTTGACAATTGAGGAGGTGCAACCCTACCCGCCTCGGACCCTTCCCCAGTGTCTCGTCAAATTCCATCCGTACAGCGCAATTAGGAGTAATGCGAAAACTGAGTGCTGTGGCAACTTTAGGCGTTTCAAAGTCCAACAATCTGATTATTCTGTTCTTTTGGAGCGAAAACGGCACAACTGTACGTCAATAAACTTCAAGTCGGCTTAACTCACGATGGCTACCGTACAGTAAAGATCAAACGGTAACCGATACCGCTCGAAACCAAAGGAAAACATTTCACACGAAGAAAGTGTTTCCTGCAAATTTGAAAAATCTTACATCACGGCACATTCTGCACTGTATTCGAGAGAAACGCGTCACTTTTTTAACTTAAATGAAGCAGCAAATAAGAAACTGGGCACTGAGGGACTTAAATGAACGAACACTTAACGATTAACAGATTATAAGTGTCGACGCAGAAGACGCTATAAGGTAGGTTTTCAAGTGGTTCTAAAAACAAATTTGTGATGGTGTGCACGTAAAAAGTAAGGAACTAACATTAATCTGAATACAGCTAGAAATGGGCGAAGAGGCTCTTTTTCATCCCAGATGTAAACTGCATCGCCGACGCTTTACCGAATACCATTCTACGGCTCACTGTGTAAACTGTGCCAGAGAAAAGACTCAATTATGTTCTGATTAGTTCGGCCAGTAATAACAAGTTTTTGAAAACATTGTTCAATGAAATTAGACTCACACTTACCTGTGGTTGATCCAGAGACAATTTCAACAGCGAAACTGACAGAGAGAAGGAGAAGGAAATATTTTGGAGACATTTTGTGTTTTGCTGCGCTTCCGCGGGCGACCTGTTTTGACTTTCTAATCTGAAAAACGCACGGTTGATATGACGTAACAAAGGAATGAAACTAGATATTTACTTAAAGACCCGTGGTTATCGAGTTATCACGCGAATGACACGATACGCGCGAAGTAGAAGATGCCGTCGAGTGTTCAGTATCAGTTGTACTCCTGGAGATTCCCCCAATTGACATTATTTTGGAATACTTCAATGTTCAAAATTGAGTCCGGCGTTATTAATGTTTACCTATATTTCCCAATAAAGGTAAATAAATAATGTCGTGTCTAATCAGTGGATCTGTTCGACATGATGTAGTCTGCGTAAATGCACTATTTTCATGCAAATTATGTTTTCTCAGTGGCCTCGTGTCCCAACAAAAGTTGATCGACCTGATATATTTTCAGTTTTCAGCCATGAAATGTGCTATCAATGCTTTGTTCGTTCTGTCGGACGCGTTAAGTTGTCCGGCAGCCAGTCAAGGGGGAGGAGGGGGGGATTCCGGCATGTAGAAGGGTCGGGGACGTTCGTCATCGGTCTCGCTTTGGAGTTTAAGTTGCAGACTTTGTTATTATTTAGGCTGCTCAGAGAGGAAAGTCAGGATTTTCAACCATCAAGGTTTCTTTTAGAGTTACATGCTCAGAACTGAGAACTGCGTTTACATTGGTAGTCTGAATCGATCAGCCTTAAAATTTTTTTATATAGGTCACACAAAGCTTGCTCTACGTCCAATTGGCCTATTTAAGGGATTTATCAAATTTCAGTTCACTGACGACCCGACTCCATTCACATGAAAGGACCCCCTGGAGTTCAGTGCACGCGTATGATTTCTTCTCGAGCCATGCGTGAACACTCGTGCGAATGAGGTTTTTTCGCGCGCATCTGTCAACATGGCAAGATTTCCGGCTCTGCTCATCCGGAAGCTCGGTCTTTCTTTGCATGCTAAATTCCCTCTGAAAAAGTTCTATCTTGTTTTCTCTTCCGTTCTTATGAGCCACAATAAGTGATGACACATTGAGATCATATTTCAAAACCTTGTTGTTTTGTAAAATCATTGTAAACGGTGTTGCGAAGGAGGAATAGAAAAACAAAACACGACATAAATGACAAAATCACTGTTGTTAACAAGTATAGCTAGAAGTCAATAAAAATAACTGGACACTGATATAACGTAACTGGAATAACTCGTAATTCCAACATTTACGCAATGCGGACCTATTTTTCTGTAAGATATCAAATTAATTAATCCACAGTCCTTTTGCCTCAAACTTGTCAACGCGCGGAATGACTTACAGTATAATCTTTGTACAAAAGAAAACAACCCTTTTAACGGGTGTCACAACTATTCACTTAAAACTTTAATTTTTTGCTGTTCCTCTGCAAGCAGACTTAATCGCGATACGCCGTATGAGTTACTCAAATAGAACGCGGAACCTAAACGAGCTCTTCGTCCATTCAAAGTTACGGGTTATGTGTTTTTCAATCGTTCCAGCGACCATCGATAAAAAGTACTCGTATAACTGCTTCCCGGGTCAGGATTTATACAGGAAGTGGACAAGAATACACGGAGTACTGCTGGAATTTTGTGTCTAAGGTACCTGTTTATCACTGCCGAATCCTACACTAGGAACACGAACGTCATCGGAGACACCAGATGGATGAAGATGCACCGAATAACTTGATGGACCGGAGAAGTTTTTCGTAGGCTCAGTTTCATTTGTTCTTCTTATCAACAAGCATGGAATTCTCCGTCAAAACCTCGCCAAAATCATCAGTAGCACTCCGAGAGCATGCGAGAATTTCCCCGTTTTGTTATGAGCGCAGTTTGTAAGCATAGACAGCTGTTATGAGAAAAGTTGTCCCACAAAAGCGTTCAGGGCAAGCGACAATGTCGAAAGGTATTGTGGGTAATGGTGATTTTCGGTAGCTTGGTCTTGGCAAGAGGATTACGTTTCTGTCTGCCGCCGAAGGAGGTCGATACATATGGTGTCAAATGTTCTTTTGAGCTACTTTTCCGCGATCTTAGTAGGCTTGGGCCCACTTTGACTAGCGAAAACCAGGACAGGTTGAAGAGTCAATTGAAAAATATTTCCTACAGCTACATCCACTAATATGATTTCTCTCGGCAGAAGCGCATTCTCACTAAAGAAGAGTGGACAGCCCTTAATGATTTGCGCAGTGATGATAGTATCATAATAACGAAACCCGACAAAGG